TTCCCTCGCGGTATACGTACTAGGTCTTTATCCCACCCTTCCAACAAATAAACAAACAAAAGCGCGGTTGGCGTAGTGGTCTAACGCGTACACACCGAAAAAGCTACACAACTTTGTGCGAAGGGTGTGAGTTCAATGCCAACCCGAGCACGCAAACAATGGTTCGAACTGGGGGCGGTACTAGGCACACATACACCAATTGAGTACCAAAAGGCAGTGTGGCACGGCAGTGTAAGAACCCGGGTTCGAATCCCGGACCGCGCATATCTTTTTCTTTTTCCTTTTTCTCTCTCTTGATATTCCTTGATGAAGGTGATGATGTCGTTCTTTTTTGGTTGTGGGTGCTCGGGGAGGGACTGGAATGTGGTTCATGTGTTTGTGCTGTTGGATGGTAGTGCTGACGATGATGAGTTCTTGGAAGCTGAGAGAGAGCGGGCAGGATTGGTTCTTTGGAGGGGGGATATGCCTCTTGTTTCTCCTTTCTCCGGCTTCCGGTGTTTGGTTGTGCAAAACTGTGGTGAATAAGAGATACTGATACTTGCGTCTCCCAGTTCCAACTCTCTTGAGATCATCACCAGCAGTATCCCAGAATGTCTTTGCTTGTGCCATTCAACACTATAACCCATCTTTGGGTTCTCATTGGCTTATCTGGTTGGAGAGATCTTACCTACCTCTAGGTATCGAGGCTCCACGATATCCTCAAGACCATTTGAAAAGGATACAGCGGTGGACATCGTGTCTTCATTTGCTCCTCTATTGCCTCTCTCCCAATGGTCTTCAGCTGACAAGACTCTCACTCAAAGTCATGATTCTCTCTCCACTGTACACTAATTGAACTTGGTCTATATCTCAACATTGTCAAGTCAACGTTCGCACTACACTTTTCAGGCTTTTACACCCCGGACTTGGACTTCCTCGAGTTGCATGTACGGGACGAACGGCAGAGTCGCAGAGGTGTGATCACGACAGAAAGCGTGCCATCATCATTTCAACAACGTCATAGAATTACGAGGAAGCGCATAGGATATGACAGGAATAGGCGGTAGAGAACAAGCACGAAATCAACCATAGTCCCAATGAATTGAGGGGTTGCTCTACTCGTGTATTTGTTCTATGGCTAGAGTACAGGTACATGTACGTTTCACGCAATCATTCCTTTACCTTCCCTCTTCAACTGACCATTCTTCTTGCAGCACAATCGATTGTGATCCATTCACTGATCCAGGGCCAGGAGTATGGATTCGAGTGGTGTCTTCATTGGGTCTATGAACAACCTGTGGTCGATAGACGTAGCAATCAACCAGTGATGGCGTGTGCCTGGATATCATGTAGGTAGGTCGCGATGATGCTTGCTTGTTGCTAGCCGATGACAGAACGGGGAGTCTGCGGCTCGTCATCGTTAGCCGTGGTACAACTCTAAAGTTGGATTTGGAGTCTTACATTGCGGCGCCACGACTTTTGAGGCTTGAGCTTGCTTCTGCTGTTGTTGGAGCCAAGAAGGGAGGATGGCAGGGTCGGTGTAGGACTCGTAAAAGTCCGCAGGGGCGGTAGACGGCGAGAAGCTCTGGGTCGAGCGGACCAAGGTTGGGTCTTGTAATTGGAATGAGTACAATTCAAATCCCTTGACGAAGAACAATTGGAGAGAAAATCCTGGAGAAAGACAAGGCGACACGGGACGGCGTTCTTGGGAGAAGCAGCGGAGATCTGGGGCGGCGCACAAACACCCGGGGGCGGACTCTGGTGCAATCAAGCGTCAGTCATCAAAGATCTCGAACTGGGGGGCATGGTTTACTCAACGTACGGATCAAGTGTCCGCCCCTTGGGAAGATTCAATGGCCTCATCAACGCTGACGCTACGCAGAGGTATTAAATGACCGTTTGGTCCCGAGTTGTCGGAATTTTGATCGAGAGACGTCAACGATGTCCTGCTCACAGGCCAGTTGCCATGGTTAGATCATGTCGGAGATGCTTGGTGGTTTGATCAGCAAAGAAGACATACCTGAAGTTGCTGGGTGCCCTGGAGGGCGCCCGTTGGCGTGCCCAAGGTTCCAAACGGAGGACATGAAGAGGGGGCAGCACTCTGGTTTGACAGAGATTGCTGCTGCTGCCCCCCCTCCGTCTCGTGTTATCTCGTCAAGGCGAAGAAGAATTCCGTCGGACCGGACAGTCGATGTCGGTTTTACCACTTGGGTGTAGGTGGCATTGTGTTGAGGGTGAGGTGAGGGGAGGTAAGGGGATGTGTTGGAGCACTTGGAGGAAGAGAAATGGAAGAACACCAGGAGATGACGGGGATTTTGAATGAAGAAGTGCAAGCCGACTCGAGCAGGTTCAGCAGACCGAGAGGTCACGTCTGGGGTTTCTAGCCCTAAATCACGTCACCAGCCTTCCAACCATGAACCAAATGGAAGGCGGGGGAACCAGCCACGGGACTCCGAGGAGAAGCTCAACAGAGCAGGAGCAGCCTGTTCCTGCCAGGTACCCCAGGTAGGTAGGTACACGTACCATGTACATTTCTCTTCCCAAGGCAGCTGTCCGGGCTCCTTCCCTCGCGGTATATGTATCAGATCTTTGTGCACACCTTCCAACAAGAACCAATGTGCGGTTGGCGCAGTGGTCAGCGCGTTCACCTCCTAAACTGGGACCCCCACTTCAGGATCATTCAAGGAGGGGTGGCAGCCTCCACATCACCTACCGTTAGGATGACCTGAAGTCCAGCCGGCTGTAAAAGGACCCGAGTTCGAATCTCGGACCGCACACATCTTTTTTCTTTTTCTTTTTGCTTTTTCTTTTGCGACAATTGTTGCGGTTTGTTCTATTTTCTGTTTTGACTTGTGATCTCTTCTTATATCGTGTTTCTACCTCCCTTTGCGTTGTGTGATAGATGGTTCGAGCACCAGCGGTTTGCCGATGACACTTGCTTCTTTCCCAGATGCTTGCCCTACAAACCTGCAAGAGATAGTAGGTAGGTTGGAAAGATCGAACATGCCGTCTCCTACGCAAAGTCGTTGACACTGCCGTGATTCAACTCACTGTAGAGAGACCAAAGTGATGCAGAATCACGCCTAGAGGTACCTCATAGATGTAATAGAAGCTTGACTGAACGGCGTCCCAGACGACGACTCTAGACAAGACAGCACATAGGGCAACAGGTAGATGTACCTAGGTACCTCTAGTCATGGGAGGCCTCGCGGTGGAGGCAATCATGCCCCTGATGTGAGGAACAGGGAGAATTTCGCCAAACGGATCCTACCTCTTCACATTGTCCGAGTGTCAGGTATCTTGCTTTACTGGTTTCTAAAGGGGCAAAGGGATTTGTCTCAGATCGTAGATGTACCGCCAGAGAGTCTTAAAGTCAGGGTACCAACACCAAGCCGGGATCTTTAACAACCTACATGACCCTCTTCAGAAGGCTCCCAAACATGTCTCTTTTCCTCATGTCGATGCTTGAGATGTACAGCAGAATCTGAACTTTGGCGAGACCAAGGCGACTTTGACTCGATCACTTGACAACATGAACCACACCACAAGACTTTACGTGGACACTCGCACCTTCTGAAACAGAATCGACGAAGAAGACATCCCTGATCTGTCTGTCTGCCATCTAGGGGTACTTGAATACCTCTGAACGCTACAACGAAGAAAAAAAACACCTAAGACTGGAGGGGAAAACTAGCAGACCTAGCATCGTGCCTTCCAAATGGTACACGCGAGACATCTAGTTTTCATGTGGAAATTCGTCAGAGACTGGTACCCGCAAGAAAGGCATGAGTGATAATACGAGCACAGAGCTTGAGCGGGCATGGAAGTTCGCAACAATGAGGATCACATCAAGAGTCAGGATCGGGCAGGATTTGCGAGGCGAACAAAGTTCAAATTCGTGTCAAAGTGAACGGAATAAGCGACCGGAAAACATGAACAGAAACCCCAAGCCCTAACCTATGAGTGAATGGTTCACTTGTCGAAGGAAAAACCGCACGAAAGTTGTCCTCCCTCTTCTCTCCACTCCCCCGCCCCCCTCCGGAAGATCTCTTCTTCCTTCCAGCCCTTTCCCCCCAAACGACACCCCTCCAGCTCGGACTGGGCAAAGCCAAAAACCAGCTTTATGTACGCGTCGTACGGGCCCAGAATGTCTGGACGCGCCACGAAGCGGAATCTCGTCGCTGTCTTGGTTGGGTTCTCGGCGCGGGAACGGTCCATGTCTTAGGCGCGGGGAGCGCCGGGGGGCTGTAACGAGACAAACGCGTTAGTGACCAAGTTGCAACAGAAGTGCAGGTGTTACAGGGAGGGAAAGAGTGTGTACGCTATGGAATGAAGTGAATGAGACTGGAAGACAGAAGTGTACAGGTAGAGGTACTCACGAGATGCATTTTCTTTTCTCCATATCCTCTTCCCGCGGCGCTCCCATCTCTCTTTAACGACGCGGAGTACGTCGATAAGATGATGACGGTGATGGAGGTTTGAGCATGTCGTTGGCGTTGATGTGGTGTGAGATTGAAGAGAGAAGTGACAATGTGTGAAGATGTGAGGAAAAAGAGAAGAAATATTTTCCCGGCGCTGAGGATTTGGGAAGCTTTATACCTCCCTGGGGCAGGTAGTACGTAACGAGTGCAAATTTGGACAACTGTCAGACAGTTGGAAGACATGACGGGAAAAAAGATTGCCGACAGGAGGAAACCAGGCAGACTGAACGGAAGGAAAGACTTGGGCTGGCAGGAACGACAAGATCAAAAGATCAGCAGACGGCGGGACCGAGGTTGCCAGGCTTCCCGAGCCGAAGTTGCACGTTTTCCAGAGTGGCGGTCACCAGAGCCATGGCCAGCGGAGGTACCTCTAGGTAGGTACGGTAGGTACATGTACGAAGGGCAAGAGCAAAATAATACACGACGGGACACGACGGGATACACGATGGGACCGAGGCTGTCAGGCTCCCCGCTCTCTAGATTGCCTGTCTTCCAGAGAAGTGGAAGGGAAGTCACTACATGAATGCCAGAGCCACAGTCACTCAATGATGGTGTGCGTGTCTGCTGTCTTTCTTTCTCCTTCCTTCCCTCTCAAGTGGAAGTCTTCCAGGTTGTCTTGTCCTTCTTCCTCTACTAGCCGAACGGCTAACAGTCACACGACAGGAGGGGACAGAAGCTGGCAATGTGAATGGAAGGAAAGACTTGGGCTGGCAGGAAGGGCAGAGCAAGAGATGGAACAGACGGCGGGACCGAATCTTCTCGGGCTCCCAGCTGACCGAAGCCTGCCTGCCATCCAGAGCAGTCACCAGATAACCCAAGCCGCAACCATCAGCTGAAGGTATACGTACCTCTTTCTACCTCTTACCTTCCTTCCTGTCTTCCTCCTTCCCTCCCAACTCCCGAGTGTCAACATAACCCGCTCACTCGCCCCCACTGCCCTCTACTCCATCTGGACCCCTCTGCCTGCCAGCTCCCGTAGCTTCCCTTCCACGTCACTTGCCCC